ACACACCGCACGTCAAAGGAACAAACCCGAGGAACTGCCATCCATAATTTATAAAGCAAATTAAGTCCATGGCACAAATAACTCTAACTTAGAACAGAAATAACAGAATCTGGCAGGGAACGGCCCCAGCCTGCATGAATCATTATTTTTCTAGAGGAAACCTTGTATAATCCAAGCTACCCTGTTTTAACACAGACGAGACCTTCTGAAAACTCCGACTCGTTTCACCCAGGTATTTTGGTGATTTGTTGTGATAAAAACCGCCCCTACCCACTGTGACTGCCCTCACGGCTGCCTCAGTCCTGCCTTCAGCATCCTCTAGAGCCTGGGTCGGAAGGCGATGGGGAGGTCAGAGCACCTACCTGGGTCTGAGGAGGCGATTAGATTGCAATGCCATCTTGTGGAATAGGAGAAAACGAAAGAGCGAACCCAACCGCTCAGCCGCCACTGCACGCCCGTGGAGTATCCTACAGGACAGGACACTGGTGCGACCCAGCAGGACACCCTCAGTGCCTGCTCCTCATTTTCCCCATTTGTCTAAAACATTAAAGGGAAACGCAGCAGCAGCTGCAAACTCGTGCTCTGCTCCCCTCACACTGCCAGAAACAAGAGGTTTTGCTTCTTTTTGCTTGTTTCCAGCCTTCCCCACGACGAAGCCCCAGCGCCCCGCACCGCCTGCCCAGGGGAGCAGCCCCCGGCCAAGGGTAGGGCCTGGAGCTGGAGCACATTGAGCCCCCACCCTGGTGCCTGGCGTGGGCTGGCAGCACCCGAGGGACGTTTCTGGGCCCTCGGCACGTACTCGAGTGTCACCATCCCACCTAACGGAACGAGCCCGAGCCACATCCAAAGGCGGCGATGGCTCCACACGGAGTTCGGCTGCACCAGGCTCCGCGTGCGGCTCCTGCTGCTCGCGCTCCCAGCTGCAGCCCCCGCTACCGACATCTCCCTGCCTCGTTCAGAGGCAAACGCGCAGGGCACAGGATGCTGTAATCACAAACAGAGCCTCTGACAGCCATGCTCTCTGCAGGGAGCTGCCTACCTGCGAGTCCTGGAGTACCAAAAATAGCCCAGATCGCTGGGATGGGGGGAAGCTACCGCAAAGCACCAGCCAGGTAAGCCAGGGCATAGCTCTGGACAAAGACAAATCTTCAAAACTTCATCAAATCAGAGGATGATTTGGGTTGGAAGGGACCTTAAAGCCCATGGGCAGGGCCCCCTGCCCCCACCCCAGGCTGCCCCCAGCCCCATCCAGCCTGGCCTTGGGCACTGCCAGGGATGGGGCACCCACAGCTCCTGGGGCAGCCTGTTCATTGCCTCACTGCCCTCACAGTAAAGAATTTCTTCCTAATACCTAATCTAAATCTCCCCTCTTTTAGTTGAAAACCTTTTACTTTAAACCTTCTTCTCTCTCCCTGATTAAGCCCCCTGCAGGGAGGAAGCCTGGCGGAGCAGTGCAGACCCCGCAAGCACTACCAACACTTGGGCTGTGCTTACCCACTGGAGTCAGGGTCATGAGCAAAGGGGAAGGGCTGGCACTGGCCAGCTCTGAGCCCACATCCACCTGGGCACCAATCCTGCTCACAGGACCCGTGCCAAGGATGCCAGCATAGGAGCCACCCCGGCCAGGCTCAAAAACCAGACAGGATCCGTGCTGTGCCACCCAAACCATGGGCTGCAGGGAGCGGCTGACAGCAACACAGCAGCACGCATTTTAGGGCCGTCATTTTCCTCTCAAGAAATCTTTTTTCATCCTAGGAAGCAGAATGGGTGAGATCACAGTGAGGCTATCTCTACCCAGGAAAAACAAATTAGTGAAGCATTCAGGAGTGTTGCATCATTAAGGTACGGTGGCAATTGCCATATAATCAGGTTGTTTCGGATCAAGGGTTTGTTTGAGGCAAATCTGTTTTTCCCCCGGCATCTTAACTTTAATTACACTTTCATTTGTTTGTTATTATACTTCTATTTGTTTGTTTTTAAATTTGGTTCTGAAGAGTACATTCTGAGAGTTAGTTTCTAATAAAAATGTTAGTGAGAAATGATTAATGAGCGCTGTTCTGCACAAAAAAACCCTAAAGGTATGCACACTGGGAGAGTGCGGGGACTGTCAGACACAAACCCAAGAGCCCGTGGTGAAACTGCAAAGGCCGGGTTGCACACACAGGCATTCCTGGAGCAAATTTGTTAAAGGCAGCCTAACGTTTGATTAATGGTTTGTGCGCACATTTTGGTGAAAGCTGAATGCGAGTTTCTGAAATCGAATAAACATATATGTCCTAACAACCCTCCTCCGTGCCCAGCAGACGCTGCAAAGAAACCAAACAATGCCAGGCAGCGTGCAAGCGTTTGCCCGCAGATGGCTGATGATTTTCAGCAATAATTTCATAAATGCGGCCGGCTGAATCTATGCCCTGACCATTCTTCTGCTGCAATCCATGGGAGCTCGCGCTGCCATCGGCGCGGGGCTGCCGGGGCCACCAAGGGAGCTGTGCTCCGACTGGCGGAGTCAAAGGGCGGGATTGTCAACAGCTCAGAGGCAGCAAGAGAAATGTCACCGAAAATAAGCTGCGAATGCAACAACACAGCCGAAACAACCTGAAAACTTCCACCAGAAGTGCGTGGGGCCCGGGGCAGCACCAGGTTGTTCCCGGGTCTCCTCTCCGCACCGGGCAGAGGCAGCCAGGATCCACTGGAAGGTCACTGCAAAGGGCCCCCAGAGCCTGACACGCTGTTTGCATGAGAGCGAGACGTTGAAACATTGATTAAAGTTGGATTTCATCAGCAATACTTTGATTTTATTATTATACTGGCTGCTAACAAAGACCCACCCATTAATGTGTTACATTCCTGCTCGTAAAAGGGTGATTATTCCACGATTCGTGCCAGAGGGCTCTGCTGGTACCCGCGTCCAGATGCTGCAGCACATCCACCGTCAGGCGAACACCGAGCCCTTCGCTGGGGCTTCAGCTCGGGCAGCGGTGCAGGGACCACGTCCAGGCTGGCACCGCCACGACCGCGAGGGACAGGGACAGGAGGGGGACACAGGGGGGCACGGAGCACCCTACGCTGCTTCAGACCCCCAGTTACCGAAGGTGTGATCAGTTTAAACAAAATGTTAGAGCAGGGGAAAAAGCCCTTGGAGAAGTCACCGAGCAGGTGCCAGTTTTCCTGCTGCTTGGCTTTGTTCAGGGAATTACCGTACGCCCGGGAGGGTTTTCTGGTCTTCATATACCAGTGATTATCAGAGCCAGAAGTAAGGGTGGAAAAGGGATGGGAAGAATGCCATTAAAGCCTGTCTCTTCCAGCATTATTGTTCTAAAACTCATGATTAGGCAGAGTAAAATAGCTATCTGAGGCAATACAGTGTTTACATATACCCAAATTGTTATGCAAACACAGGAAGACCTATTGGAGCAGACGGAATAAGGCACGAAGAGGCAGCGCTTCTCACCACCCCTTAAAGAAAAATGTTTTTCAATGTGGAAAGGGTGAGAGAGGTCACCCCCAAGGCATCCAGCCTGGGATCCTCCCAGCCTTCGCCTCTCCCATCCTCCTCCTCCTCTCAAATTCCCCAGCACAGCCAGCTCGGCTTTAGAGTTAAAGAGACAGGCTCATTATCTAGCAGCATTGTCTGGGCTCTGCATTTGCATGAAGAAGCTAGAAAGGGGCAGAAATACCTAACAAGCGGGAAGCTGTTCCCCGCAGACAACCTCTTGTCTGCCATCGGTTTCAGTGCCGGGCATTTCGCCCCGCGCACCGCGGCACTCGTGCAGTAAGCGAAGCCACAGAACTGAGGGGCTGCACAGGGGTACTCGACACGATTCGAGTGCAATTATTTGTAAATTAAATCGAGCTTGTGTCAGCACTGAAGACCTAAAATCATCAGTCACGAACTCTGCAGCCACATCTTTAATTCCGCCCGTAGTTGGTGTTTGAGAAATCAGAGACAAATGCCTCTGACAAGTCCACTATAAGAAAAGGCCACAGAGTTTCATCAATTTGCATCAAACTTTCAAAAAATTACCACTAATGGGGAACCAAATAAATCTCTCAAATATCTCCCAGTGCTTGACAAAGAGCTCACTGCTGGGGGCTTCTGCTGCCAGCCCCGAGGATCGCCCTGCCAGGGACTACAGGCTCCCACCAGCCCCCTTCGCTTCGCCCAGATACGGGAAGCTCTCGTCCTCCTCTCTACTGCACTGCGTAAGCCAAAATTCTCTCACTTCTGACTACGAGACAAACTTCTACAGAGCATAAATTACTCCAGTAATGAGCCCTCTTGTTTGCCAGAAACGAACCACGGACACCGGAGGGGGACGTGGGATTTCCAGAACTGTCTCACTAACACCATCCCGCACTGACATCCTCCCACAGCCACTCCTCAGCACCACTCATCCCCCCGAGACAAACATAAATCTCCTGCCCTCGCCCGCAGCATCCTCCCAGCACCAAACCCCCAGCTCCGCGTCCCGTACACAAAACCTGGCGCGAGAGGTACAGCCTTGCCTTGGCTAAAGGAAAAGCAGCCTAGCGCAGCTTCGCTAGCTCGCAGCTCAGCGTCACCAGCGAGGATTTCATGTCTGGCAGGCTCTGAAAACCACTCGGTTGAGAACGCATTCCTGCAGGACACCGCCAGAAATGCCCCTGCGGCACCACTCCCCATTGTGACCGGTTCTTGAGAGCTGGTAGCTAGCAAGTTTTTTAAACCTAATTAACATGTACCACACTAATTTCATACAGCTCTACAATTTCCAATCAGGGCATTGTGCAACACTGGAGTCAAATGGCTTAAGGACATTCATTGGCTTAAGGAGGTTAACACAGCAAGCGCAGTAAGTTCAGCCTGCAACATCGCTGAAGCACATTTGGGGCTGGAGAGGTGGGTTTTTCCTCTTCAGGAGCAATCTTTGCCGGGGGGAGGCACAGTGCACACAGCCTCGGAGCACTCAGCGAGTTTCTAGGCATTTAATAACAGCGCAGGATTTGGACTCATTTCCTACCACAGGAAGTTGACTTTTTGTCCACCATCTTCACGTGCCGCGTTTGATTGCGAAGCTTGTCGTCTGTGTTTTCCACCAGGTTAGTGAGGTCGTCGATGATCTCTGGGGAAAGAGAAACACAGCATTAATCTCCCAGCCCTCAGCATCGCTGCTCAGCAAGCACGCTGCTGCTGGAGGCTCCGAAATGGAAACCAGCTGCACCCCGCTGTTTTCCAGCGAGACACACCAGTGCTCCACAGCGCTGAGAAAAGCACTGTGAGGTCCAAGAGACCCTGACTTGGGATTCAGCGCACTCCTCTGCCATCAGGAGAAAAGGAACAGCCCCAAACTGCAGCATCAGCCTAGGGAGGCTCCGAGCGTAGTGCGATGGAAGCCACAAAACAACAGCCCAAGTAAGAATTAATGCACATACTATAGGAAATGTGAAATTTCAGTCCCTGGAAGAGAGCGTCTCAACACTCAGAGTTCACTTGGCCGTTATGCAGTCATTAAAACAAATTCAGAATCACTATCTTCATAAATGCTTTTGAGAGTACTCGGTACGGACCCGATCGAGTGATATGGGAGGATACGGTGAAAGTCTCACATTGTTTCAATTACTGTGATGTACAAATGGCAGCTCTGCTTGCAGCCCAGATCATCCTTAGGGAAAAGGAAAGTGAGCAAAATTTCCCCTACATCCATTTTTAATAGAGGAGAAAAGGAAACTTCAAGCCAACCCACCCTCAGCCTCATGCAACCAACGACTGCTTTTGTCACGGCAATCAGACCAGGTAAAAGGCTTCAACCAAGGCTGGCTGTTGGGCTGGGGTGTTGTAACAATTAACACTTAATTGAAAGCCACATTTGGGCACCAAATTTCCTTCTTGCCGACTGTTACGCTTAAATTTTGTTGAAATATGCAGACAGTGCAGGAATACGCTACGTTTGAGTTGCTTTCTACTCTGCAGGTAGGAATGATTTTTCTCTGCATGATAAATCAGGAGGAGGACAGCAGCCAAAAACCGAATGCTATTGCAAAATGTCTTCCTCTGGTTACACTCCTAGCACTTTCCCTGCTATTGATCACTGTCTTAATAAATCTCGTCTGTCTTTTCAGATCAGGTCTGGGACGAGAGCCCTGCCAGCTGGCGGGTGCCGAGCTCTCAGCTCGGTTGCACACAAGCAGCCCCTAGCACAGCATCGCTGCCGCAGCACTGCTCAGACCTCCAGACTTAGCTGACTGTAAGCAAAAGAAAACGTTAGCGTGCCTAACATCCAGTTAACAAGGTACACTTTTTCTGATCATTTTCAAGCTTCATAACCCTGTATACAGGCTGGCTGAGAGGTAAAGACAAGTCCCAGCGGCAGGACAGGGTGTTTATTGACAGCCTTTATTGTTTCAGTTGTATTCCTTCAAAACAGATTTTCCAAGTCTCTGCTAGAAGCAAGGCAACGACACTAACGGGGACATCCTTCGCACTTCCAAAACTGCCAAACACTCAAAGCAGACCTTGTGTCTGCAAGGGAGGCAAATACAAGGTAGTGCTGATGTTGGGCATTAGCTCTGGCAGCTCCTCGAGGTGTGCCGGCCATCAGTTTTATACCAGGGCCTGAAAGGGAGCCGCTTCCTCCACAATTCATCTTCTTGCAGCATATGGTTTTAGTTATGCACGGTGCATCCTCGAATCTTACCAAGTATTGCTCAAGATACAGAGAAAAGACACGGAGATCTGATCGTACAAGGGGTAACAAAACAAAAAAATATCGAAGTTCTGAAGCCAGAGGCAAGTTTCACAGGCACACACAGCAAGGAGGTTTTACCCTCGTGGAGAGTTACGAGCATCATCCTTTAGTGCACGTTTTTCCAGTCTGTTCCACAAGCACTGCAATATCTCCAGTGAGTCGCTGCATAAAATGATAGCACCATCTAAGGCTTTGAAAGTACCCATCCTTCCCAAATATGAGGTACTGATTCATGCCCCTCAGCCTGAGCTATTATTTGAAGTATTCACACGAAGGAGGGCAGAGGGCAAACATCAACCACTGCTGCGTGCAGCCTCAGCTTTACCCTACAGATCTAAGCCACCGCTGTGATGAAGCAACCTCACCACACCAGCACTGCTCTGTTCCAGATGCGAACGCTCCAGATTTGTGAAGCTGCTCTTACCCGTCGAGATTTCGTTGCTCACCCTGCACAAAAACGCGTTTCCCCATGACTGGAGGTATTTTATTTGAAGCGCGAGACTCATTCAGTGCATAGTGCAGATATTAATTCTCCTCCACCTCCCACCCAACCTTCCCAAGTCCAACATCTGCAAGGACAACAACATTTGGGGGAAACTTTATCTGTCCTGTGTGATTCAGCACGCAGGAAAACCAGCACAATGCCGCCTGCAAAGGCAGGCTCTCTCCTGTTTGTCTCTAAATGAAAAAAAAAGTGCCGAAAGTTCCCATCGTTGTCAAGGACAAAGTGATAAGCACGCTTGGGAAATAAGAGACTTTCCTTTGCCAACACTGACCAGACCCTCCTTGAAAAACATCCTGGTGAACAAGCTGTAGCTAAATGAGAACAAATGCAGGCAGGAATATTTTCTGCCATCATTCCAGCACCCGAGGCACTACAACACGGGCTGTGCCCGGAGCCTCTCCCTCCAGCCCCCTGCCCAAGCCGTGCCCCATCAGCAGGACACGTTACTGATGCAGGGGGCAGTCGGTGGGGGCACTCCTTGGTACCAAACGCTCCCCAGCAGCAGGGGCTGTCTGCAGCCAGCACCTGAATTAAAGAATTTCTCCCCACCATAAAGCAGAGGAAAAAGCACGCTGCATAAGGCAGGAATTGAAAGGTGGTAAGGAATTTCTCAGGCAGGCAGAGCTGCTGCTGGAGCAAGCCCCGCAGGCAGCAGTGTTGGACCAGCACTGAAAAGCCTGCGCAGCTATCAGCAGGCTCCCGAGCATCGCCTCCTCTGGCACGACCCGCCTACAGCCCCCTGTGCAGTTCAAGCTGGCAATTACCTTTGGGATGAAAATTCGTCTATTGCCTCCCACCTACCTGGCTGCTAAAGAACTTAAAAAATGGACAATAAAGCAAAAAATGCCAAGGAGAGGGGGCTCACTTTTGCAAGGGCTCAGGAAAGCAGGCTGAATGCCCAAATGACCCTACAAAGGACGTTTCTGCAGCACTGCTCTCCAAACCACACATAAACCATGCACACAAACAGAGTCCACGTCCTCCTTCAGTGGCACAGGACCCCAAAGATGAAGACAAACCACACGGCACAGACCCAGCACCAAGCGAAGCCACACGGGGTGAGGAAACTGAGGAAAGCAGCTGATTAAATAAAAAAAAAAAAAAAAGTAGGTCACATGCATGTAATTTTGGCCTTTTTCGGCCAAAAAGCCATGACAGAGGGTTTTGATTGCACACAACACACGCTCTGTAGCAAGGCAGGGCAGCCAGGGCTGGAACACGGACCCTGATCAGGCAAGGTGGGGAAAATGGGGAGCAGTGGCTGCAGGGTGAAGCCAGCCCTGCCCTGCTCCACTGCTGCTGGACAGTGTGAGTGAAAGTAGAAGTTTATTCTACTAACAATTAAAAAAAAAAAAGCCAAAGATTTTTAAAAAATATTTTGCATTAAACTTGAAATGTATTTTTGCCCATAAAAACAAATACAAAAGTCACGTAATCAGATCTGAATTGTCACCGCATCACAGCCACAAAGGAAGATGCAGATGAATTCATTTCTGTTCCATGTGCTCACCGCATCGCGTCCCTGCTCACAGCAAGTTCAAGCACCATTAAAGCCGAAAGTCAAGTTCTGAAGGATCGAGAAACCCCTGATCCAAATCAACACAAGACTATTCCGAGAGGCATGCACATGTGTTTTGAATCTTTCTTTTCAAAGTTTTATTGAAATGGAAAACGAAGTGAAGCAACTGGTCTCAATGCTGATCTGAAGCACTTTCCACTTTGTTTTATCATGCTCAGCTTTGCAATTAGAAGTGACAAATTAAAGATAGAGAAGGCTGCTCTCTGTAATCTCCCTGAATGCAATGCCTGCATTACAACTCACACTTGCACCACGTTTTGCTGCTACTGCTTTCTGGGGTCCAGCTATGTGCACATCTGTGAGACTGCCGTGGTGGAAAAACCTTCCATGGAATGAAAGGGTACCTTCAGATACACCTTAAATCACATCTGCCACTAGCTAGGAAAACACAGATTTACGCAAAGGACACCTACAGAATACAGACAACGAAGTGAGCAGAAGGAACTACGCGTAATCCTAGGTATTTCTAGGAAAAACCTCCTTTATCTCTTTTTCGTTGAAGCATTTGCTGCTGCAGTGAGAATCAGAAGTGTATTTTAATTCATAAAAACACTGATGCTGTCTCTGAAAAGCTGGTTCTGCTTCTCTCCAGCCAGGGCATGGCTAATTTCAGAGCCTCCCGTGAGACGGGAATCCCACCCGTTCCAGCCATAAGTCATCTCGGAGGGAAATGGATACGCCTCACGCCACATCTGCTCTCCTGCGCTGCGGGCTCGCACAGGATGCGAAAGCAAACGCTGGGCTGAACCCACGCCAGGTGCTGGAGCAGTCTGCTGTGTCCGACGGGATCCATGTGCTTTTCCTCCTCTCCTCCTCCTCAGCAAGGCCGCGAGCTCCAGGTCTGCCCCACGTCAGGCAGTGTAACCCCACAGCAGGCCCTCTGCCTCCTGCCCTGCCCAGATCCTGGCCTCTCCGCTCACATTTCTAGCGAACCTTCCGAGGGGGCTGCAAGCTGACTTCTCTGGCAGCCCCGTTTCTGTGTCAGCTCAGCCATCAAGTTTTACTACAGCTGGTCAGAAACGTCCCAAGGAACAGCTTCAGCCAGAGCACGGCTGGACAGATGAACAACAACAGGGCATCGCGGGGCGGCCGCCTGCTTTGCGGCGCCTTCTGTGCCACAGCACCGTGTTTGGATCGGCTTCTACCCCATAAACAGCTTTCACCTCGCAAATGAAACGTGTGGTTTTTTGCAACAAAACGAGGAGGCCAAGCATTTCCAGAGGGCGAAAGCCCCGCTTCCAGCCCGCCCAGCCACTAGGCCATGAGACCATGCAAAAGACAAAATTCATTTTG